AAAAGACTAACTGACGATAAATCATCAACACGACATACACTTCATTTAGATTACTTAAAAGAAGTAAAATTTAAAAAAAGAAACATAGGCTAGTATAAATTTTGAATAACAAAGGAGTTAAATAATTTTTTTTACCTGTATGAAGACGATGAATTCCAACGATATTACGAATACCAAATGTCATTCTGATTATATTAATACTTAAAGTAAGTGATTTATTTTTCAAAATTTATACTAGCCTATGTTTCTTTTTTTAAATTTTACTTCTTTTAAGTAATCTAAATGAAGTGTATGTCGTGTTGATGATTTATCATCAGTTAGTCTTTGTTTTTTTTCATATATATCGCAATAAAAATAAAAATAATAATACACGTTACCTGCACTCTTCTTCTCCTTTTTTTAAATACGCACGATGGTCTGTTTTGTGAAACTCGATGAAAAAGGAGTGTTGAAGTATATAGAGTGTACACTTTGAGGGTGGGGGTTTGAGTGTGAGCGTATCTTTTCTATTCATCTAAACCCCCCATCGACACACACACCCTTACATCCACTCTCACACTCGTAGTTTTGTATGAATCACTCCTCGTTGGTCTTTACGAAGTCAATTGAAGGTGTTGGTTTTGCTTCCACTTGAAAAGATAACTCTCTTCGCGCAAGCAGAGATAAAATATTCAAACTAACAGTACGTAAAACACATATCTTCATCAACTTCTTACTGATGACTCTCTTATGTTTTTTCTTACACTTATTCTCCCTCACGAGTCTGCTTTGAACGAATGGTACTCGTTGCATTCATTCTCCTAATAGGCGCGAATTCTGTCGCAAGGTTATAATTGTTATGAATGCATCAGCAATTGCTATGGCGGCTTGTGATGAACAATTTAATCTAAGGGGTGAGGTATAATTCATTAAACTCACGAGGTCTTTTCTCCACATGACCATGGTCGACTTGAAATCTTGTTATTAAGAATAGGATATGCCGTGTCTGAAGTCATCATTCAAGCAGCAGCTCCAAACGAGTCGTGTATTGTAAGCTACACTCGTAAGAAGTTAAATAATATAAACTTTTACTTTGTTAGGCTATGAGAGCTTCTTCTGGTGGCAATGAAATGTATACCCGAGGGACGGGTGATTTCAGTGCATGTCTTGGTGTCAAAAATGCCTGTAAATCCTCGACAGAAAATGACATGACTGCAACAGTGTGTTGCTGTTCATTGGAACTGTGTAACGGACAATCATTCACTCCAACAACAACACGACACTCTGCATTTTCTAGAATCTTCCTACATTCGTCGTTGATCATATTCGGGTTATTTTTTCTGAACTGTTTAATCTAACAATTCAATTGCTTCTTTTTTATCTTGATTTTATTTTGTACAGCGTGTGAAGAAAACAATATAATTTTATCAAAAATCGAGAAAAGACAAGTGTTGCAAAAACCTTTCACAAAGAATCCAAAAGTTAAATTGAGTTGTTGAGTTCTATACACATGGATCTCCTTTGCAATCCAGTGAACACAGAACTGGCTGAGTCAAGCCATTTCTCGATTCGATTTGAGTCAAGTCGAGTCATCAGTATGTTCTATTAAAGTCGAATCGGGGTACGGGGTGTGTATGAAGAAGAGATATTCACCCGCACTCACATCTACACCCCACACGTCCACATCCCACACCCACACCCTATACGCACACCCACCCTCGATTCAAAACAGAGACCGAAACTGGGAGAATTTTTTGTTCCCCGCCCCGCTCCGCCCAGAAAAAAGCTTTCCCCGCCTCGCCCCGCCCCGACCTTAAATTTTTTTTTGCTTCCCGGCCCCGCCCCGACAAAGACTTTCCCAGCCTCGCCCCGCCTCGACTTTAATCGTTTTTTCTTCGGTGCTTTGTTAGGCTTCTATAGGATTCTTGTATCTTTTGATCATGTGATTTATTTGACTACATATTACAAAAAAAGCCGCAAGATCACAAAAATACAACAATTAGACACAGGAGCACAAAAAAGATACAGCTCGAGATTAATCAATCTTGTACTTTGTTATTCTCTATCGAACAAAGAAATAAGATATTATTAACAGTTGTTGGCTCTGAATTAGATCTTATTTGTTTGACAACTTGACCTGTGCCGAAAACTCTTTTTCGACAGCAGTTGAACTGCATATAGAGGCCTGCAGGTTCCCAAAAACTACCTAGAATCTGAATCGGGGGTTCAGTTATGCTTTGGATTAGTAAAAGCAAGAAAGAACGACCCTAAATTCGATTAGTTAAAAGTATCTTTGGAACCGCCGATCTAATAATAGTATAGGAGACAAGTGATGTAAGAATTTTTCTCTAGAAACTTGTAAGTTATATGTCACTTTTCAAGATTTGTTAAAGTCTTCATTTTTGAAGTAGCAATTTATTTACAAGATAAATCAGCTGAAGAAAAGAATGAGAAAATCAAGGCTCTTAATCAGGTGTATTATATTTTCGCTATTAAAGAATCATATTGAGCTGAAACTTTATGCGAAAGTTGGAAGTGCATAGTAACATGTAAAAAGAAATTTTACTTTATATCTCGTGCTTAGTGGCAGCTAGGACGATTTTAGTATATTTATAATGGCCAGTTTTAGTCTCTCTCGTATCGTTCCATGATGTTTAGTCAAACTAACTGAAACTGTTCATTCTTCTTTTCACTNATTTTTTTCTTTTTTAGAATTCTAATCGTTTAACAGATAAAATTCATCGATTAGAAAATGAACAAAATTCTTTAAGTTCCCAAATACAAATCTTAACTCAACAATTAAAATATGAACATGATACCATTAATCAATTTAAACACTTACGACAACAACAAAATCAAACAAAATTTGTAAATCGAAATTCAACAATGAATCATCAGACTGATAATCATCATTTTGTACGTATTATTTATAATAACTAATTAAATGATTCAATCAATCTTTCTATAGAAATTTTATATAGAAATATACTAAAAAAAGACTTGGTATACTTTTTCATATACTCTCTTACACATTGATAAATGTTCAAGATAATATATATAGGGAATAACATCGTTAATGTCGACAATATAACTACTAATAGACATTTGAAGGTGTCAGAAAGAAAAAGAAAATGAAATACGAACATAATATTCAAGGAAAACGAAAAAAAAAAAAAAAAACGGAAGAAGAAATGAAAAGAAAAAAGAATCATCGACAGGTCCGTTTATACACTTTCGTATTTTTTCCTAGTTAATATTTAATTCATTAAAATAATTCGTTTATTTTAATAAAAAAAAAAGACTAATAATAACATAGTTAAAACATATAAAAGTATAATATTATTTAAGTAAAAATAAAAAATATTAATCTTTATAAATAGATTAAAATAAAAATGTATTAATGTCGTCAAAGGTTAGTTTAAATATTTTTATGAAAAGAGAATTATTATAGATAATATATATATGTTTTGTATTAGGAATAAAATATTTACATAATATAAAAATGAGTATTATATTTTAGGAACAACAACAAACAATACTTAATTCATTTGACTTTTTAAATGAAATAAATCAATTTAAAAATCGTCTTGATACATTAGAAAAAGAACGTTATGAACTTGAAGAAAAAGTTCGACGACTTCAAGTTTGTTTGTCTTTTCTTTTTCAATTATAGAAAAATGAATAATTTTCCTTTTGTTTTTAGGAAGAAAATACAAATTATAAAAATCGTTTTATTAAGGAAAATAATCAATGGATTGGTTCTCGATCTATATTAGCACTCAGTGGACATACAAATCTATCGGCATTTACTGGTAATAAATGTTTTATGATGTAATAGTTCTTTTATACACATGGGAGGCGTGCCAACGAGTTTGCTTCTATTTTATCAATATCTTTAAAACAAGGTCAAAGGTTCCCTATGAGAATAAATCGAACAAGAGAAGATACATAATGATGATGTTCTACTCGTTCTATTGCTTTTTTTTTTCTCTACATTGATATCTTCTTTTTCCTTTTCTTCTTTCTATCCTTCATCTTCTCATGTCTATATACGAGATCGTACATTTCATCAAACAATTATCTTTTGCTTGATCGATTGTTTGACTAAAAACTATTATCTAGAAATTCAATGTCGTCTTATATGGACGTTGAACAATGTCTCTTTGTCTATCCGTATATGACTACTACTGCACTTCTTTCAAGATATTCATCACAACAGTCGAATCGTCGTGGTAAGTGCAGAAAAAAAATCACAACCTTTTTTTAAATGATGATATAGTACAATGATCGAAAAAAAAGGTTCTGACTTCTTCGTCGTGAATCGCAGTCATTATAAAAATAAAACAGTTGAAATTTGCTTGAGAATATACTCTATAATAAGTATTGATCAATGATATTATTTATGATAAAAGTACTTGAGGAAGATTGGAGCCATAATAGGTAGTAATCATATTCCGTCGGGATCTTATTATGAAACAACGGATAGATCTTTTTCACTCATTCATCACATGATTGTGTACTTCTTTATTTCAGCTATTTACCCTAGTTGTACAAGAAAATCATGTTAAATCATAATGAGACTCGGAACTTATTGGAAACTTAACAGATTCATCTGGAATTTTTAAGAAATTTTTCAGATGTAAATATTGTTATTTCAAAGAAATGACATACTAATGACCATTGGGTTATTATCAAAACTTCAGGGAGTTGAATTACTCAAATAGAAAAATGGCGTCATATGATAATATATCACGAAAAAAAGAAAAAACAAATTTTTTGTTCAATATTTCAAAACTCTTCAATAATATTTGAAATCCTTATTTTGGAAATTATTTATGAAGTTGCGAACGATTACTTGATAACAAATCATTTGTTACACAATTCATATATCTATATTCTTTTTTTTTTCTTTAATGATATATATATATATGTCAGACAGCAACGCCATTAATTTGACTATGATACATTTGGACACATCGATGATAGTCTTTATTACAAATGTCATTAAGTTCTAGGTCAAATCTGTCTTTTTACAAAGTAGACAGATAAATTTTAACGCTCTCTACAAATTTAGAATGAATAAAATAGATTGCATCGGTGACATATTGTCATAAGGCATCATTTATCTATTGTTGCTGATGAACACAAAATACAAAAAAAAAAGAGTATCTTTGAAATTTTTCATTGTATTTTATTAAACACAAGAGTAATTGTCAATACCTTTCGTATGAAAAGGAAACTTAACATATGACTTTTCTTTACTAAATGCATAAATACATTTGCCTGAGAATTGAATTTTATGAAGCCTTGATGATAATTCAATGATCATTAGTATGTTATTCTTTTTTAAAGATAATCTTTGAGATTGCAGATAGGAATGTTCCAAGGTTACTAAGATTAGACGGAGGTTAACCCGTATTCCAGAAATTGGTGAAAAAACAAAATAAAGAAGAAAATCATTCAGTTTCACTGGAGAAAAACGAAAATATTCCAAAATTGCAAGAGTTACCCCAGACTGTGGACAGCTGAAATAAAATATTATACACTAACGTGTTAGCTATGTCCAATCGTAATTCCTTTCTCGAATTATAAGATCCATAAAATTTCAACCATCTAACTCTTCCAATGACTACGGTTCAAGATGTAGGAGCATGGTTAGTCTAGAACTGGGTTCGAATTCGAAAATTTAGTACCCGATAGGCTCTAGTCGTTTGAGAAATGCATAAAATATGTTGGCCACCGAATAGAAAAAACCCGAAAAAAAAATGTCTTGGATCTTCCAGGTGACTATCCAATTTCGATTGGAAAATTTTATTGAGAGTGTTAAAGTATGGGTCGATCAGATCGGAAAATTTTTTAATCCAATGGGCGCTATTGAAGAATTTTGTCCATCACCGCATATGGGTCATTGAATAAATTGATACTGTTGATTTTAAATAAGCAAAGCTTTTTTTGTACTCATCTGTCGTTAATCCTATTATCTTGTCATTGTTGATGGATAGCTTTTGTTTTTTTTATCTATTTTTCATAGAAAATGATATCGAACGATTGAAACGACGTATTGAAACTCTTGTGAAATCAAACGATGATAAAGTATTTATTCTTAACTATTCTAATTAAATATACTATGACATATTTTTCTTATTTATATAGGAAAGAAAAATAGAAGATTTACAAATTCAATTAGCTAAATATCATACTATTACAATACCACAGATACCGTCAATTAACACAAAAAAAGTTGATAATTCTGGTAATATATATATTATATATATTATATTCAATTTTTTTTTTTTTTATTATTAAAAGATTATTTTCAATATATTTAGTAAATAATCATAATATTCAAAAATGTTCTTACGATACAGACGGTGATGTATCAGACTCAAATTCATTGCCATCTCTTAATAGTGATAAGGATTCCAAAGTAAATATTGATAAAAAAAAAAAAAAAAGACTTTTTTTAAGTTTCTCTTTCTCTCTCTTTGTCTCTCTCTTATTCAATTAGTTATCTCAGAAACCTTTATTACCACATAATGATCATGATTCATTTACAAATTCACATCAAAATCCGTTAAGTAAACTAAAACTTGACATATTACATCGTGTAAGTAAATTTTAGAGAAAATTTTCTAATTCAATTTAAAAAAAAAATTTAATCTATTTATCAGGCTTCAAGTGCTGAACCAATGTTAATTCGAGAATTCACAAATGTATATTAATTAATCTTTATAATAGATTTTATTTGAACATTTTTTTTTTTTGTCCTTTTATATTTAGACTCCTATTCGTGATATATCAACTAAAAAACGAACACTGACATTAAACGATCGGATGAATTATAAATGTAGAAAAAAAAACAAACAAACAAACAGAAATGAAAGAATTGTTTTCTTTTTTATTTTGTTAATTTATAGATGATCAAAGTGGTTATGTATCGGATGGACCAAGTCGAAAATATTCTATTTATAAAAAATCTTTAGCAACTAATTTAGATAAAAATAAATCATCAAGTGTTAAAGGTTTAAAAAATATTTTTGGACGAATTATTCGAACAAATTCAGGACATTTTAAAGAAGATGATGAACAAAAAACACAAACTTCATTTCAAAATTACGATTTAAGAGCGACAATTAATTATGAAAAAAATTTATCAAAACAACTTAGGTAAAAAGAAAAATAGAAAATAAATATTTTTAGTTTATTCAAAAAATATCTATAGGAAAAAGATATTTATCTAATAGTTAACCTTCGTATTAGTTTTATATCAAAAGATCTTGCCGGATTTTGTCATCTATCTTAAATCAGGATATCATGTATGTATTTTTGCAGAGTAATTCAATAATTATTGAATATTATATAAGAAATAAAGCGTTTGATGTTTTGAAGGTTTATATATTAGTTATAATCTTTAAATAATATAATATATATGATATTCAATTTACATTTTACTCTCTAAAATCTTCTTTAATTTCTCAATAATTATTCGTTTTCATTTTTACTTTAAAAATAATTCTCTTTATTAGATCTAAATCATTTCTTGACTAACACAATATTCTAGTGTACTCAGCTCTATCCTATAGAACAAATGAGTATCAATGTGAAAATTTCTCAAAAATTGCATACTATTGAACTCTATATTTTTCACGGATAAGATCTTCCAGAATAGTAGAAACTTCTTATTGCTAACTTTCAAGACTGTTTCATAGAATAAGCTATTTTCTTTTGTGAGGAGATCGATATATTGATGGTATTTTAACAATACTCAACGGTCCTATTAAAAACTTTGATGTACCAATAAACAGTAGAACATTCCTGATGATCTGAAAAGAGATTATTTATTTCACGTCATCAAGAATTCTCTGCCGGTTATTGGTACATTAAAAGTTTTTAAAAGAATCATTGAATATTGTTAAAATATCATCAATATACCAGACTCTTCATATGAAAAAATCGGCTATTCTCAAGGACGATCTTGTAAGTTAACAAGAAGTTTCTGCTCTTTCTAAATATCTTATCCGTGAAATATATAGAGATCGATAGTGAATAGTTTTTGATAAATATTCACATTGGTACTCACTTGTTTTATGGCACAAAGTTTAAACACATTAGAATATCAAATATTCAAGAAATATAACCTAGACATAAGAAAAGAAACTATTTTTTAAAGCAACGATAAAAACTTTTTATTATCCTAAAATTGAAGAGTATTTATAATCGTATCGAATTGAGTTTGAAAACAAAACTTCCATAAGTTTACCTTAGAAAATTTTTACGAACTATAATTTTTATAAATAATATATATATTTGTCAAGGATTATAACCAATATATGAATCTTCAGAAAATTGAAAAATTGATTTTTTTTTATATATCATTTAATGAGTCGTATATCGCCCTACAAAACCACATGTTTTCTATGTTGGTTCAATAAAAGTCCCTAAATCCGACAAAATCCTTTTAAAATTTTTGAATAATTTATTTAATTGAACAAAATATTATTTAATTATAAATTGACTAAAAAAGGCCTACTGTAGTTTTTATCATATATAAATAAATAAAAGTTACTAAAGGAATCTTTATTATTTTCGACATTAAAATTTTTGAAGAGATGAATATGTCAAGGAGAATATTTATGTAATCGACGTACTACTATTTAGATTATCATAATATATACAAATGTGAACAAATAATAGTTAGTGCTAGAAGCATCACACAAGTCTAACTAAATAAAATAGAAACATACTATTACACATTGTGAAGATTAAATAGAAATATTTCCGAAAGAGAAGATGATGACATTAATTTAGTTCAGATTTCTCATTCGTTATGATAAATACTTTCTATTTCTCAATTTGTTTTTGTCTCAACTTCAGTTTATAAAACTTCCGTTAGTTAATGTTTGATCTGAATAAAATCTAGAGAAAGGACGGGGGGCGATTTCTACAGAAATCGGCCCAATTGAATTTTAATGATCTACTCGGGTAGAAACAAAGGAAATGATGGTAGAAAGTATACCTTATGATTTTCAAATGATTTTTCTAGGTATTTCAAGTTCAGGATTCGATTACTTCTTCAATTTTCTGTGTATACATAGGGGAATCGTTTGGTTGTCAAGTTTTACATATATATATTTGTTACTTAATTCAAACCAAATGAATTATATATCAGTAGATAGGCCGTGAAAAATACTTCAAAATCCTATATGACAATCCTTTATCAAAAAT